CCAACAGACATATCGAGCGAATCGTACTCTCTTTTAACGCGACTTAACGTAATACACACGATAATCGCCGAGGAGCAAACACGTTACACGAAACAAATGGGGAAACAAATGGAAAGAGGTAAATAATTTGTAGACAGTCAGTCGGATTGGCAGCGAGATACAGTGAAAAATTAAAATACAGGAAATATGAGAACCTTCGTACCACCCTGATGCCTCCCCACACTACCTCCACTCGTTGGTTCACCCGCCCTCCGTAACACGGGGTGGCTAGGAGGGTTTAGGGAGAACAGGGGAGGTGGGTCGCGTACTACCTCCTACAAAAGTATAGCGTCACCTCCCGCGGTACAATCCCTGCCAAGAATGTAACACCGTTATTTTATTCTACCTCGAACAATACCTATTACTAGTTACTGCACCGTGAGAACAAGAGGGTAAAAAAAAAAAAAAAAAAAGAAAGAAAAGAAAAATCGGAAGGAGATTCGTTTGATTTCTTTCAAGATCAACCCACTGAGTTTAATACAGTACGCTTCTAATAATTCTGGAATCTTCAATTTGTCGAGATTGATTCATTAGGGTGTAACGTAAGATTGGATACAGCTGCAGAATAGTGATAGAAAAAAATACGAGGCGAAATTTTTGAAATTCTCTCTCAGCATTGAGAAAAACAAAATTTCTTGCTTTGCGATATTTCTTTCAATCTTCTTATGCAACAATTAACTCTGGTAATGTATTTGTGAAATTCACAACTTTGTGAAATGTGAAATAGTTGTACTTGTCTGAATTATTAAAAGAAAATTTAAATTTAATCCCCAAATATTATCATCGGGCTACAAACGACTGTAGAAATGTATTTATTACGAGTATTCAGTATCTTATACTCTTCATGATAGGTATTAAGGTGATAAAATTAAATTATGATACAGAGAGGCAAATATTAATAAGATTAACTGTACAATATTATTTGTTTCAAAATATTCTACTTCAAAATATCAAGCAGGATACCTCTAATAATTCCCAATAATATCAACAATTCTTTCTCTTTCGAATGCAAAATTGAAACATCGGAACTGTCTTCTTATCGATGGAAACTGTTCGATTCTTTCGTCGTAGATCGCGTTATCCGCGAAACAGTGGGTTGAAAAGGGGAAAGAGAAGCGAGAACTAAGTTGCGACAATTATTCAATGTCGAGAAAATTATAAGGCTAGGCGGGGGTTAATTAAAGCTTGACAGAAATTAAAATTCATATTAGGTGTATGCCGCGATCTTATCATTGTCGTTTTATAAATCCTTGTTAAGCGAGTTGTTTATGGTGGTTCACGTGCCCTAAATGAAACCCGAACGAAACTCTGGCTCTGGTAATTATAGACGGCAGTAAATTTTATACGATATCAATTAACCGACTGGTTCACCGAGTTTGTAAGTGGCCACTGATTTTCTTGTCAATCGGGAAATCACTCTGACGACGAAGTGCTTCTATCGATCAAATTATCAACTTATTTAATCGTTCCCACTGATCTATTTAGAATATTCGAAACACCAAACACTAAAATATTCAAAGACTGTGTAATATCTAGTAATTGAGCTATAATATCGATTTTAGGCCGTACACAGAAGAACAGCAGGGTTGAATCTAATTTGAAAAACTATTCTATTAATAAATATTCTATAACAGACGAAACAAATAATAAATATTTCATTCCAATATTCTAAACGTTTTAAAGCTAATTTTATGAATTCCAAACTTTTCTATTCTAATTACCGATAATTTTAAAAACATCCCAAATTCTTAAACATCTTCGTATTCTAAATATTTGAAACCAAATTTTTAGAAACACTTTGAAATCCCAAATACTCGATCGAGAATCCTCCGAGTCCATCATTTTCAATTCGCTAGTTTTCTCTCGACACTCGTACTATCTGTTCGCACAGTTTACAAAGATTTAAGACACTTGTAAACTCGAACACACGAGGAATTCATGCTTGCCCACGCAGCTACGTAAGTACAAAGACACGGTCGATGATCTGGCGCGTAACGCGCGGTTAAAAATCTCCTCCAGGCGATTTCCTATATCACCTGGATCTTGTCGTGGAGCTTATTACTTCACTCGTAAGTTCCTCTTTCTTTCTTCATTTTTTTTTTTTTTTTTCCTAATCCGATAACTTTAGTTTCGAAGTTATCGCGCATGCGAGAAAATTCGAATAACGCGCGCCGGATCTAGCGACCGATCGAGTCACGCCTTCAGAGACGTCTGTTACGAAAACTATTCGAGAAAACTGGTTTACGTAGTTCTCTACGCGTGGTCCGGTTCACCCTTGTATAAATTATAGGTACACAGTAGGTACACTGCCGCGCAAAAGTCTCCAACGCACTTTTTGGTCTTGATACTTGAGCCGTTCGTTTGCCAAGTCGATTAACGAAAAGTACAAAAATTTTATGAAACTCTCGACAAAGCAATATACTCTTTTAAAATTTAAACACGAAGGAATCTGTGAAGCGTCAATGCATAGCGCATACAGAAAATATTCGTACACCATTTAGATTTATTTTCACTCTACTTTTTTCACGGTATGCTATGTTCTTTTTTTTTTTTTTTTTTTCAAAGATGGTTGTACGTCATTTTGAAGTAATGATACTGAAGTAATCTCGCGTCATAGTCTTGAAGACTGAAGTAACTCCGGTTATTTGTCCACCTTTGAAAACGAATATAGTAGGACTTTTGAGCGGGGGTGTATTACACGCGGCGACAACTCCAACGCACGATATCGAACCTCTCGCGTAACGTCGATTCTTTCGAGTGGCTCGATAACGCGTGACTTTTTCACTGTATCAATAATTTAGATCGCAGATAGTGAATCACTAACACGGCTGCCAAGTTTAGCACCAAGTGACTCGCTGGCTGGCGCCGTTCATTACAGGTTTCGTCTGCACACGCGATATCCAGCCACGTTCGGAAAAAGGATACTTAACAAACAATATGTTTTCACGGTGTCTGGCAACGATCGAGCGAAAAAATTTGGCAACTAGCAAGACGAGAGGAGGAGGAAAAAAAGAGAAAAACGCTTATCTTCGATCTCAATTCGATGGAATCGCGTTTTAAGAATATCAGTGCTTCTCAATTTGTGAAAATTGAAGAGATATTATCTCCTTTCCCCTCGTAATACACAATTCGAAACGATTCATTTTGTCAATTTGACTTTTATATTGCGACCATATATGTTTTTTTTTTTTTTTTATAATTCATACTGATCAACTTCATAAATTTAAAAAAGTACTGAAATGCTATTTTTTTAAATTTATCTTAAAATTTACTATTGCCTATCTGTGTCATCATTTTACGATGAATGAGTTTATAGGAATTGTTTTTGATAATTTATAAATTAGGAAATTTATAAATTAAAATTAATTGTTGTTGTTAATTTGTAAATTAGGAAATTTATTGGATCTATAATAGAAAGGCAAGTCAACTCGTCGTTCTATTTGTCAATCTTTCAGATACACATTTTTTTAAATTTTTAGAATAAAATAATTCGTCCTCTATCTTTTAACCAAACTGACTCATCTTTGCCAGATTCTACCCTACAGAATTGATCAAATTAATTCATCTTAATTACATCACTGTAAAATTTTTTTCTCTAAGTCGAGAAATAATTAACAATAACAGTTGAAGCCAATTCTCATCGCAATATTCTGTATAATTTTTTTCTTGACCTACACTAGCAACTCTTTGACTATTTCAATGAATCGAGAAAGAAACTAATTGTAAGATCTGTCTGCAAGAAATTTCATCATTATCTACCAAACGCTACCGCCATCAGAATTATCCAAAAATAGTTCGGCCGCTTTTGTTCCCATTTACAACTTTCGCGACAACGGACGATCCCTGTTATGCTTTTATCGCATCGAGGCATTGAAACAAGCTCGCTCGCAGCGTGTAACTGATTTCGAGAACGAGTTGCTGGACCGCAGAAGCATTGACGTCGATACGAACGATCGAGACCACGTCCAAAGGGCAAGAATGTAGCCCTACCGATGCAGGATTATCAGCAAGAATGCGGACTAACCAGGAGACGAATGATAAATAACGGTGGCTACCTGTGGACTGCGTTATCTAGGAATGTTAGCGGCCCGACAACGTCAGACACGTGATGCTCTTATGTTTTACACGGTAACAGCGACGACGTTTCTATATACCGCACGATACTAAGCCCGACGAAAGCCCATCGATGCTATCGCGCTCGAGTAAAGGGAGAATATGAATCAATTCGACTGTATTCGGATTTAATACGCGCGGATATCGCTGCTGAATCGCAACGTTCTCTCCTACATAGGAGACTGGTGGTGTGTTCATCTTCGGATTTATCGAGGATGCATTATTAAATGCGCTATGGAGTATATATACTACAAGCTCTAAGCTACTTGAATTCGATCCGACGTGTTGCTTATCAAATATATTTAATTAACTTTTCACGTTGAATGCGTAGAATGAAGTACTGGAGTTTAACAAGTTGATTGAGTAAATTTAGTTGGTTTTATAGAATGGGTCAGACATATTGCAACTATACTAGCACAATATTAATCATACAATACAATTTTTAAACGAATTTAATAAATTATTAATTTTCCTTTTATGCCTTTTTGTAAAGAAAACGTTGCATTAAAATCATTTAAATCAGTAGATTCAAACTTATATTGATAATAAAGGCATAAAAAAAAAAAGAAATTTCACTGAATAATAAAAATAGATTTATAAAAAAAATATAACACGTTTTAAATAAGGATTAACTCACTATTAATTACTAATCTAAGTATTATTAGTGTTACAAATCAATCTCCAACTAGGAACAAAATTACGCATCAATTAACTACGAAATTAAACAAATGACACAATTACATGTAAATACTCAAAACTTCAATTCGTGGCCGACAATTACAAAATCTCACATCAATGTCATTTCTGATAAGCAACACGTCGTGAGCAGAACTGTAATCAAAACTCACCCTTGCTCTATCCTGTCGACCGGTCCACCAGGTCCCATCATCGCTGGATGTCCAGGTCCGATAGGTCCTGTCATCGGATGACCAGGTCCAAATGGGCTTCCAGGTGGCATACCGTATTGTGGTCCGCCAAACGGTTGACCGTGCGAAGGAAAGTGAGGATTTCCAGCACCCGGAGGTACGAACGGCGGTCCCGAAGAACCAGGTCGACCGACGAACTGCGGTGGCCCGCCAGATGGCGAGCCAAACGGACTCGGACCGGGCCCATTGTACGGTGGCCCGGAATTATTCGGCGGCGGAGGGAATCCCGACGAATTCGGCGGTGGTCCAGGACCGGGTGTCGAGGAACCACTAGGCGCCGGCGAGGCAGTATATTGGGGAGTCGCGGAACCAGGAGGTGGACCTTGATAGGGTGGTGCCCCCGCTGGGCTACCAGCGCCACCGGGGAAAGGACTCGGTCCTTGGAAGGCCGCATTGCTCGGTGGACCACCTGTACTGTTGTAGGGACCAGAGCCAGGGCCACCACCCTGGCCAACGGAGTTTGGTGTAAAGGGCGATGCCTCCGAGCCGGGCGGCGGGCCCTTCCAAGAGGCTGGTGTTCCCGGATCCTCCAGCGTGGTAGTGGCTGCCAATGGCGTGTTTAGGCGGCTACAGCCTGGAAATTGAAACGATATTTTGTGTTATATTTCTGTTCTGCTTTGGAGTAATTGATTGTATACTATGAAAGTAGAAGAACTAATGTAAGTTTTAATATGGTGTCTGTACTAAGAAGTGAAATTATATTCTATTTTGGAGTACATGTTATGAAAGTAATACAAGTTCTAACCTGGTATGTATACTAGGAAACATAGGTTCTAGAAAATAAACGTATCTCTGCTCTATTTTAGAGTAATTGGTCTCATATTATAAAAGTAGAGAAATTAATAAGAGTCCCAATGTGGTATATATACTACACAGTACACAGTTTTAAAAGATAAAAGTATTGTATGTCTGTTCTATTTTGGAGTAATTAGTTCTATATTATAAAAATAGAGGAATCAATAAGAGTCTTGATATTGTATTTATACTAGAAAGCATATACTTTTAAAAGATAAAAGTACTGTTTTTCTATTCTATTTTGGAGTAATTAGTTCTATATTATAAAAATAGAGGAATTAATAAGAGTCCTGATATGGTATATATACTAGAAACTATACACTTTTAAAAGATAAAAGTACTGTTTCTCTGTTCTATTTTGGAGTAATTAGTTCTGTACTATAAAAATAGAGAAATCAAGTACAAGCAAGCGTACTACGAAGTATATAAGTTCCAAAAGATAAAAGTGTTATTTCTCTATTATATTTTAAAAGATAATTAATATAACAAAAATACAAAAATGAAATATGTTCCAATATACGTATTAATAAATACATAAGTTCCATAAGAGAAGAAAATTGATATTAAAAGAGTATTATAATGATATACAAGTATTTATAATGACTCCGTCACTCAATTTACTACTCTGTCTTCAACAAATTCCTTATAACGTGTAAAAAATTCAATGTACAAACATTTCTGACATAGTACGTAAAGAATATAATGACCAATTTAGCTTCTAAGCTTATTTATATGCAATACAAGTAAATAACCTTACTAATGTATTCATATTCTACCTACATTTGATACAACAATTCTTTTGTGCTAAGCTTTACGAGTTACAGTCATAAAAATAACATGCCAACACAATGTAAACAACTCTAACCGAGTGAAGCTTGTATCAAAGACAGATTACATAAAGTAACATGTAACACAACATTTGAGAGAGTTGTGAATGAACAAAGAAACAAAGGAAAATCACCATTGTTTGTCCCATTGGCCTTCATTGTCCTATGATCAACCAGCTCATTCCATTGCACCGATCACCCACTTTGGAGGAATCAGCACTTGGCGAGAAAAAAAAACGTCAATTCACCGGATACACTTTAATCCTAATCGAACAACAATGTCACGTTTCAATTCCTGCGTGTACAGTAACTCAAGTTTTCCTTGGAGTCGCGTTAAGGTTATGTGCCGGTAACCTAACCTATACGGCGGTTAGGACGCGTTCCGCAAGTTCCACAGCCAACGAGGGAACTTAAAGCGCACGAAACACGATTCCCGATACTTTTCAAGAATCCGAATTCGCAGTCCGTCCACGAACCGTCTCATCGAAAACCGTGAAAACAGCGTACAACAATGGGCATCTGTACGGTCGCGTTGCCGGCATTTTCACGCTGATTTTCAACCTGTTTCAAGACGTTCCACCAGATTTCGAGTCGAGATCCAGGCGCGCACCCACTGTTAGGCGCGTGCACAGGTCCGACATCACGCTAGTCTTCATTCATTTTCTCGTCACATTGCAAAAAAATTCGCGATCGTCCAAACACAAATGACTCGGTGCAAGAAAGAAAGAGAGAAGAGGCAAGCGCGAATAAACACCACCAGAGTCAACAGACGACCCTTGCCAGGGACGTAGCGTGCAGGTGGCGCCACAGCATTCGTGTTCGTATTTACCGAAGATTTTTACCCGTTTGTTAATTCGCATCGAACGAATGATAATAATTGCTCGTGGCTATAAGAACGATCGATTTTTCGTCAATCATATGCGTATTCCACTGATTTAATCAACCTTAAGCTCAGGATACATGGTAAACACTGGACGAACGCGATGGTGTCGACACGGACGCTCCGAAACGTCAAGTTTCAACTGTCAAGACAGGTTTCACAAATGAAAATACAGGAAGCCTGTGAGAAACGCGTGACGGTACGAAAAAAAGTCACTAGTCTCCAAGCACTTTCACTCGCGATTTGTCACTCACACGTGCACCGTTCGCGACGACTCGCGGAAATACACGTACGCACGTGCGCCAGGGGTGTAGCTAGCCGACACACGCACCTAGTAGTAAACTAGACTAGCTGCTCCCTCAACGGACCACGTGTTCGGTTACTCACTGTCCCTCCTAGCTGCCCGCGCCCGGATGTCAACTGGATTTCTTCCTCGGTCGCAGCCAATAATTGTTACTCGAGACGTAAAAATCGGACGATGCTGCCATTTTTAACAGACCGGCTGCATGAGCCGACGCGGCAGCAACGACTGCCTCACACCCCGCCCAAACACACTGAAAACACACCCCATCAAGGCATACGAAGCAACTCGCTGGTGCAGCTTGTTTTCTCTGCGTTCAGGTTCGTCACTGCGTACCCCTTTCTTTTGTACGCCAATCGCGAAAAATCGCTCGTGCCGCTTAACACGCGGTCGGTGTTTCGTTTTTCTGTCGTTCCTCCGGAGTTAAACCGTCGCCTAAGGCCTAAGTAATCCAGTCGTATTGATTCTAAGCCGCGCGCTACCTTCGCGTAATTATACAGCTGATATTCCTTGCGCGTGCACCCGAAACTTTTCTACCGATTTTTCCCTAGACGCGACCCTCCTTGCCGACTCTACGCCAATGCGTCGCGCTCTTCTACGCTTTGTTCCTTCCTTCGCTGGTTTCCTCTGGATGTCCCTGCGACTACCGGCGACAACCGGTGCGATTAATTCGAATCCTTGAGAGGTATCGCTCGGACCGACTGTAATTTCCAATCGATTAATCAAGAGGAAACTTTGGCAACGCGGTGTCGCCTGTTGCATGCGAGTAACACCGTGTGTACACGACGTGCAGCAACGTAATCGCGTTGATTTGTAAACAACATGAGACGCCGGCCCCGGGTTCGTAAAGAGCGATGCACCAAAGCGGACAGGCCAAGTGAGAAAACAATCGGACGGCAGCAACGGCACCACGACAGACGAACACGCGTCGTCACCACTACTCTCTCTCTCTCTCTCTCTCCCGCTAGCAGTTATTTCTCACACTTGCTCCCTTCGATTTTCCATCGAACGCTTCCTTCTCTCCCCTCCGCTGCGGCAAATTAGAAACCGACGCGACGCGTGGAGAAACACCACATACACGCACACACACGCACGCACGCAACGCGCACACACGCAAGGTGCGTTTCTTTAAATCCTCCTCCTTCTCCTCCACCTTCTCCTGCTCAGTTGGCACACCGTTTTCGCGAGCACTCGAAAGTTAACTCTCGTAACTTTCTGCGTGCGGCACAGCCAGAAAGCGTGGCGCACAAAGAACACACGTCACCAAGCAAGGATACCCGAGGAGCGATCGAGCACGAAAGACGATTACGGAAAACACACGCGTCACTCGCTGCTCATTCATGGACGACTCACGACGTGGTGGTGGCGTGGCTCCGCCAAACGATTACAAAGAACAGGGGGGGAAAAAAGAAGGAAAGGTATAGACTAGAAACGTGAACTACTGATTCAAAGAAGACAAAACGCATGTAGAACCGAAAACGAGATTTGTCCACCGTCGGCGTGAATTTCGCGACGACTGTAACCACGATCCGAATGGCCGAGACGTTGTATAAAACATGCAAGACGACGCGATAAGGCAGCTGTTCCACGTGGAGCTTCGCCCACAGATGCGTACGGCCCTGCGCCGAGAGCTGAACCCCCGACCGCAACGGGACTGCGCCTCGCCACAGTTACTCTTTTCTGTCACCGCCACCGCCGACGCCGCCGACGCCGCACTCGCCACTTTTACACGACGAAAAAATGTTTCATATTTCTAGCGGACATTGGCGAGTATCGGACAGTTTTCTGATCCGCCTTTGACCACGTACGAAACGCTGACCGATCGCACGATCATGAAAGAAAGGGTGAAATCGAGGAAAGAAGAAAACCGTGGAGAAGGGATGTTTTTCGCGCGTGGAATGGCGCAGCGGCCGCCACATTTTTTTCTCACTCCTTGTCGTTTCAAAGTCCCTCCCGTCGCGGGGGACTCAACACTCGCCGGTTGACAGTGTCACCCTAAAAATCAATAAGGGGTTCACCCTCGACCCTGCCCACCCTCTTCCTCCTACTGCACCTTTCTCTACCTCCTCCACCTCCTCCTCCTTCTCCACCTCTTTCTCTACTCTTCCTCTGCCTCTTACTCTCTACGTTTATCCCAGGAACGTATAGCGGGGGTCGATGGGTCGGCGAGGTTATGCTGGTCAGACGACCAGTCATTTTATTAGGCGGTGATGCGACGCCAGGAGGCCTGCTAACCTTCAAACGCCACGTTTAAGCGGTTCGCATTTAAGATGGCTTTCCTTTCCCATTCCTTTTCACAAATTTTCTCTCTTCGCTCACACTGATTTTCGAAAGTATTTCCACATATGACATGAAACGTTTCAAAATTTCTTTAACATGGTAATGAGACAGAACTGTCATGAATTATATCGAGCATATGTATATTAGAAGACATTTAACATAGTTGAAAGTTTTTAAGTCCATTACAAACCTTTTATTTTTTCAAAATACATCTTTTTAAGTTCCTCAAAGCCGAAAATTCTTTTTACCAGTCCAATACACCAATAAAGAATTACAAATTTCATTCGTAGTAGCATAAACTTTCCTTCTGCAATTGTAAGCAGAACTTTTAGTAGTGAAGAATTGTTTCGTGTTTCGCATTGAGAACTGCTGGGTGCATCCAGGCAGAACTTAATTGCATTTACGTTTCTAAGCAACGCGCGTTCATTTTATCATCCTTTTCGTAAATGCAACCACGTCTGGCGTCGCGACACCCGACCACGTTATGCTTTCTTGTTCCCTGACGAGTCTTTCGAATAGAAAGGCGGCATCAACGGGAAACTATGCCGACCTACCTCACTGTGAACTACCAGAAAACGATGAAGATTAGTCTACGAAGCCGGAAGTTATGCGGGCCGGAGCACTTTCTAAAATTTTACAAGAATCGTTGGCTTTGACCATTTATTGTTATCATCAGTGACTGACACCTGCGACGTAAAATAGATCGAACACTTACATAAGTTTTGGGGAAAGCAGAAGTTTCGACTGGCTACTTAAATAGAATATCTAGAAATCTTGCGACTTACTCCTTGATATTTGTAGTATCCTTTCTTAATGCTATAGACTATTCATGTAATAAAATTATCAAGCGATGCTAGACGATAACTTGAAATTATTATAAAAATCACGTGTTCAAAGTCATTCAAATTAAAGTACAAAGAGTAGGAGAAAGTTTACAATTATGAATTAATCATTTTGATTACTTTGGCAGTTCTGTTGTTAAATAGTTATGAAACGTTGTATCACTATATTTGAAAAATTTGAGATTTACTCGGAACGTACCTGACAGGAACATACTGCTCGATTCCATTCTCTCCGTGTTCCGTCATCGTCCGTTATTTTCACTTGTCCCTCGATTTGTCGATTTATCCAAAGACAAAATCACCATGCAGCCGATAACTAGAGCGTTCGACTTTTTAACCGGGAGCGGAGGCGAAATTCCGATGAAAGTTTCCGACCGATAAACGTTCGAAGGTCACGACTGTCAGAAGAGTGAACCACGGGCGTAAGAGTACGCTTGGTTCGCTGTCACGCGAACAACGCTCTTTGACTGTATGTCAGTACGCATCTCGATGTCTATCTGTCGATGAAGGCACGATTCGATAACCCGCGATTCGGGGTCAGTATGGCCGTCTTTTATATCCCGGAGACGGTGAACAGTCGCCTTCAGTGACAGTTGATGTGTCGTCGAACGAATAACACGCTCCGGAAGACGACTTTGCTTACGATCGTGCTTCGTTAACGAGGCCAGCTTTTCACGCGCGAAAGCTCAATGTGCTCAATGTACACAGTGATGTACGAGTGTAATGAGAGTCTTGAATGACCGCGAATAGAACCAGATATATATTCGAACAAGTGCTTGTATTTCTTTTCCTTCTCCTCCTGTTTCCATTAAATGCACAGCTTTTGGAGGTAAACGTTGAGCTGCGTCGTTACGCCACAAAATAGCGTAAAAGTGGACTTAAGTTTCTAAGTTCATTACTGTGTGTGCGTATGTGTGTGTTTATCAAATGCGTGGGACAGAATGCATGGAAGTTTTGAATACAAATTGCAAATGACACGCCAGTAAAGTTTGAACGCAGCATAAGGATACATTTTTCTTCTAGCGTTCTTTGAAGCTCTCCAGCCAATTTCAATTGAAAGGCTATAGGATATATTTTATTAAAAAGCAGTTTTAAAATCCAGTACTTATTAATCAATCTTATAATCTTATTATCAATATCATCTATTTGGCTTCGCAGTTGAATTATGTCATTTCATCCTTCTCAAAATTTTCAAATACTGCTTATTATAATTAGGATATTGAATCATCATTCGGTTTGACAAGATATTTTCGACTTTGTTAATTAAAATTACACGATATGAAAATCTTCCTGTTTAATCCTAAAATAATATTGAAATCATAATAATCATAAAATCAAAACAATGTAAAAACATAAATGAAATAATATTTGGCCCTATGAATCAGACTGTACAAATGCAATTCTCCATGTTGTAACTGATAGTGGTCGCGAAGCGTTCCTTTTTTTTCCAATATTCTCATTCTCTCTGTGTGTAACCAATGAAAGAGGAATCTCAGGCCGCGAAAACTCATCCGTTGTGGCACTTCGATTTTTCCCTCGTTTCCCGTGATAACTTTTTCCCGCAAACCATACGGAAATATCCGCCACGAACGCGTGGCGAGCCACGAGGTGAATGACAGTTGCGGACAGTTCGTACACAAGCACGTTCCACTGACCCTGGGTTGAAACGATTCGGACGAGCTCTGAAACAACCAACCTTTGCCTTGCACGTGCTCTCACTCCCGTGGACTTTCTGTACTTTTGGTCGATGCTGGTTCTCCAACTAGAACTGTCCAAAGAAAGCCGCACACCGTTCACGGAGATATTAGGATAAGTTTCATTCATACAAACTTTGGAACAAATCTCGACCTTCGGAAACCGTGACGGCGCGAGGTCTACGAGCGACGTTCGATTTGGAGCAAATTGAAGTTAACTTCGCAAGTTAATCATATTCGCAAGTGTCCAAACTTTTACTATGGACTGTTATATATCACATGAATTTCTTCTAATTTTCTTAAATACTCTATGGAATTTTGTTCGTTCGATAGTAAGTCGTAAGCTTGTGATCTTTTATTTGCTTTGCCGTGTTTTTGTGACATCCAAGATCTAACCTATAACGTGATCAATGGAAACAAGGTTAGTTCAGTATAGATAAAATTAGACAATTTTGATTTTTAAATTTCTGTGTTACTTGTCATTTCAATTGATTGTTAAATTTTTAGATTATTTACCATATTCTTCCTTCTGATGTTTATATATAACTACAGGTTATAACTGAGAGAAGAAAATAAAATTTTTGTGTAGAATTCAATTATTCATTATATACTCCCTCTATGTATTGTCTTCGTACTTCGTGCGACACGATACAATTGAACCCGGGAACGAGATCGTGGATAGGATAACATAAAGACAATAACTCAGAACGCCGAGAGTGTCCGAAGGTGAACGAGAACTTGTAAAAATATCGGCAAGAAAGTTGACAAAATATCGCTCCTCGTTGATTGTTCGCAGCTGTTCCTAAGTGGACTCGGAAGCTTCGGAGTTCATGGCACACAGAAACAAGTTGGATCTGCAGAAAGGCACGAAGGGAAGGCCAGAAGAGCAAGTTCGTGGTTGGCTGGAGCGGGGTGGCACGAGGAGGTAGATGAAAACGAGGCACGGAGGGAGAAGCCGCGTACACGAGAGAGAAAGAGAGAGAATAGGTCGATACGGTAAACTATTGTCTGGTGGATGAAGTGTTCACGAGAACTGGGCGGAAGACAGCTTTGCGCCGCGGTTACGTGCATTCTCTGCTTCGCACGAAACGCGAAGATATGACATGCTCGTCACCGCAACGATGTTCAAGCGCGTCCAAGAAACCCCGCACCTCTATCTACGGCCGCGTAACCTTTTGCGCCTGTTCCCTCGATCGATACTAGCGCACAAATCGAATCACCGTTCGCGTTATTACCGACCGAGAATGCGTTGCAATTACATATTGCCCGTGATTTAATTCTTTTGTCTTTCTATCGTATTTGCTTCAAGGAACTGTCCTTCGGTGGTTTGATTATTCCGTTAATTCTCAACAGTTAATTCTCAGCAGTATTGCACGCGTTTTTGTAAAAATTGACAGTGCTTTGCGAAAATATTAGTTTCTGAAATAAATATAGTTCATAACGTTCATAATGCAACGTTTTCGTATCGTATTACTAGAGATAAAAATTCAACGAAGATTTGGTATTTATCTGAATAACATGGAAGACATTTTTATTCTCAAATTAAATTAACATTACCGAATCATTACAATTTATTCTTCTTACCTATAAACGGAATCCCTTCACATTCAATTCAGAATCTTTCAAATAATGTACTCCACTGCGTACGTACGTAGATATTGCCGTAGATATTTAAAAATTTCCACATTGAAATTTCCTAATAAGAGAGCAATTAGCTTTCGCCCGTACTTAATTTAGTTCGCGACGTTCACGACGCCCTCTACAATCGAATCGTTTGGCGGGAGTATCGAAGAAATTTCGATAATCGCTGGACGAAATTCGTTACGTAGCTAATGAAGTCGAAGTGGAGCTAAGTCATACAGCAGCAAATTTTCGCGGAGGTTGGACACAAATTTTCGAGGATTTCGCCTCTGAATGCAGATTTGTGCCAGTACGCTACGTACACAAAGGCAGTTTGGCATGCGGCGGTGAGCGACAATCCTACATCGAAGTGTGTTTGCCGATTGTCATCGGTGGGATGGAGAGGTAAACACAATTCCACCCTACCACCTTGTTCTATTCGCTACGTGTACAATCTACATGCATCCGTGTGTTCGTTTAGATACGTCCGTTACCAGTAACGTTGCAGCGAGTTTCGATCGTGAAACTAACCTTTATGCCGACCATCGATACTAAACGTTCAAATTAAATGAGGAAGATATTAACCAATAAATTCATGCTGTACAAAATAAGAAGAACATATTACGACCGAATGCTCTGCTGAATATGGTAATGTAAATCGTCATTTTAATTTCTTGCGTAAATTTCGATCTGTTAACGAAACGATACGATGATGATTTTTAAAAACGAACACGTATATAATTAAAGAACGATATGTACGTTATATTCTTTTCTATGGAATTATCGTGCAACACGATAAAATAAGATTATGTCGAGTAAAAATAATCAGTAGGAGAAACGGAGTAGAAATGATTTTACGAGGCAGGACGTTCCGCGTCTACCATTACCGAACTGGTTAAACAGGTTATCAGTTTATAGCCACCGTAAAGGGATTTTAAATTTCGCGGCACATGCTCATGCATTCCGCGCCATTATCTTTTTTCTCTTGTTTCAAGTCATTATTTCACCGAGTTCATAGCACTACGAACAGAAAATGTGTTCGAGCTACACTATAAATCAAAAATATTCTTATTGCTTCTTCATTCAAATATTTCTCCCGATGTTTTTATATTTTACGGAAGTAAATTTCACTTGAAATAAATTATTTGGAGATCGTAAAGTTATTATTGACACTCACAATGCTTGAACCGTCGTCATGAGTTTTAATTTCTGTTATTAAAATAGTAGAAAAATGCTTCTTGCACATCGAACTGGAAGCAGCAGGTATGTTTCAATAGGATTCAAGTTTCAAATATTTTTATTTTAAATTTCAAATAAAAATTTGGTAGTGTTTAAATGAAAAAAATATCAGATATTGTTATTATTAACTTCTAAAGGGAGAACAACGCTCACTTGCCTGAATTCTATCAATAACGAAATCGTTCGTAGTAGATATTTTATTTCCAATTTAGGAACTGAAATGCCCATATAATAAAAAATATTTGTATCGTAATAATAATTATTATTAAAGTGGGAAACGAGGGTTACGCTAAAAAATCACTGCTAAGTATACAAAATGAAGAAAAAACTCGCAAAAGAAAAACAAAAAAACGAACATAGACTTTCTTTTTTTTCCATTTTTTTTTTTTTCTTGAATATTAATCATTCTCTAATTTTCTCTCTGTATTCGCATTCATACATTCGTGTCTCATCGCGTGCGACTTTGATCTCTCTCTCTCTCTCTCTCTCTCACACATTGTTTTATTTTTTTTTTTCTTATTTCTCGCATACATACACACATTCTTTCAAGTTTTCTTCTCTCTTTTAACGCCCACGCACTATAATTCGAGATTAAAACAACCACGGTAACAAAACAAAAAGAAATTACATAAAATCTTCCATTTATGGAATTTTGCACTTCCTTTTTTTTCATTTAAACTTTCTTCTACATTCTTATAGTCTCTCTAATTGATAAAGGGCTCGTTTAAAAGCACATACAAACGACCGTCGTTATCGTTCGATTTTGAAAGTCACTATCTAAGCAGTTTTATGGCACGTATTCTCGTACAAGCCCTTCCTCTTTGCTTTTCTTTCTTTTTCTTTTTCTTTTTTCTTTTTTTAAATCTTTGTCTCGAGAAAAAGAAAACTTTTCTCCTCTTCATACCGTTTCTTTTCTTTCTCGCTTCTTTTTTTCTTCATATTTTACTCGTCGTTAAATGAATTTCGCAGAATTATACTCGCAATCGCAACAATAACGAATCTGCCTCTGAATTTACACACACACTTACTCACCCACTCACTCACACACACACGTTGAAATCAAGAAGTCTTTTTTCTACCATCGAAATACGGTTTTGGAATTCAGACTTGGACGTGAAGGTCTGTCTTAGATCGTATTTCTTTTGCAATGCGTTAACGATCTCTTCCTCGGTTTTGTTCTGACGGTTTCCTCTTCGTACAAAACTCAAAAAGAAAGGAAAAAAAAAAAACAAAAAAACTCTTTCGTGGAAATACTTTGCAACGTAGCACCATTGGAGCAAGACAAGCATCTCCAGACATGTATAATAAAAAGAACATTTGTCATCCAAGAAAACAATTGATTCGTGTTCTTTTTGCGCTATAACGATAAGAAAATCAATTGAAATAAACATTAAAACAAAAAAATAAGAAAGGAAAAGAAAAATGATTTCTAACTTTCAGTGCGTCGGGTGTAGTTCGAAGACCTTTCCGAAAAACCGCGATCGTAAGTTTGCAACAACGCTCATCGTTTCACCCTTTATATTCGTAAAAGAACTTCCAAACATGAACAACTTATTGTTGAAAGACATCGATATAGAAATCTGATTTTGCTAGAACAGATCCGACGATGGATCATTTTACATTCTTGTACGTTTTAGGGTTACGAATGTATTTTTTTTTTTTTTTTAACATTATCTGATATTTTATTTCTGTTTTTTTTTTTTTTAATCCTTTATCAGAGTATCCTAAAACGAACAAATTCTATTAATATGTCTACATTTATAACATGGATATACCATCGGTACTTTTTTTTTTTTCTTCATTTCTTCAGAACGTTGGTGGCCCGCGATGTTCGATCACTTTCGGCAGCGATCACGCGTATTTTAATTCAGTCGGTTATGCGATGGTGCTCCTTAATAGAAATTCAAAAATGAAAGATTCGCATACTCTTTTTTCTTTTTCTTTCTTTCTCGCTTCCTCTCTTTCTCTCCCTTTGCTTGTTATTTTTCGCGAGCATCTCTCTCTCTCTCTCTCTCTCTCTCTCTTTCGTTCTCTCTTTCGCGCACTTTCTCTCTCTCTCTCTCTCTCATCCGCGCTTTCGTCTCACATATAGTTCAATGTACAAGAGATTTTCTAGAATTATTCTGCAAAATATTGCGTTGCACCCTAATAAGAATATATTTATATATATAATATGTAGCGATACGACTATCGTTGGCCACACAAATAAGACAGCCTGTACATTTACTAAATCTTAACGGTCTTACGTAATGTTGAAAGATATAATGCAGGGAATTTATCTAGCTTAACGAATACGTGATTATATACATTATGTACATATCTCGTTGCTATAACATCGCTTGCGTGCACTTACTTGTTAGAGCTGACTACAGATCAGTGTGTATGGTGATTCGTGTGTACGTGTCAATACAATGAAAATTGTCTAAACTTACACGGTAGAGTAGGGTTCTCGCGATCGTTAACTACATAAGATTCATTGTTATTACAATAAACAATTATACATTCTGGCGATCCGTCGGTTAAAGATCTCGCATATACACATACATAGATATATATATTTACGATATACATATGTATATGTATATTATTTATATATATTTCTTTATTTATTTATATATTTATTTAGTTATCACATCGCACGTTCGAAATGAAGGAATTTCGGACTCATGACGGTGAATCAAATTAATCTCTTGTTTAAAAAAAAGAAAAAAAAAAGACTCGTTCTCGCGGAAACGAAAAGAAACTTAAAGAACCAAAAAAAAAAAAAAAAAAAAAAAGAAAACGTAGAATAGTCGTTGAATTTCTCGATTGATTATTCCTTATCATTTCACCGTTAGACATTTAAAGTGCAAAGAACGAACGTACAAAAAAATCGTTTTATCATACGAAAAAGTGTCAACTGCGTACGTTTCTAATATTTGAGTTCGTTACTTTTCATTCCTCTTATTTTCTTTCCTTTTCTCTCTTTTTTTTTGCTTTTTTTCTCTTTTTCTTTAATTGTTATCACAGTGTTTTAGTACGTTTTCCTTAATTAATATCGAATATCCTCTCGAATATAATATAAAAATTAAAATAAAACTGAAACGTTGTTTCATCGATTTCCATTTATCATGAAGTTATCTCGTTATTATTATTACATATAAAAAATTATTACCTAATTTATTGCATGATATATGCATGTACACACCTATTTCACTGCATCCGTATATTTCTTCATTCGTGGTTCGAACTTGTTAGTTTTAGTCTCTTCTCCTTTCTTTGTCATTTTTTTTTTTCCATTTTCTCTTTTCTTCCCCTTGCTTAGATTCGAACGGTATTGTATCATTATATTTCCTATATCGTTACAATCGAATATTTAGAATGTTTATTCAGAAAAAGACAGTGTATCCTTTAAACGATCATCGAAAAAGATCATCCTTAGAACGTGATAACGCAAATACACAATCCTCTCTATCCGTGATTTAGATTTATCCGCTGTGAATGTCTTTAGCTATTTTATTGACACATAACGAGGAAAGGTTCCTCCGTCGAGTAAGTTTTTTTTCAATTAAAAATAGAATTCGAAGCGAGGAGTCCGACGGATCTTTGTCTTTAGAAATTCTTGAAACCGACGTTCGCTACACACACATCGGAAACCCTAGATTGAGATCCCATTTTGTCTACTTAGACGTTGGGGCAGCTGGCTGATGCTGCCCCGCCATCCCCAGTCTTGGTTGCGAGGAAGCAAGTAATTCTTTGTAATACGCGCTAAATTCCGGCGGTAAAAACGACGTGGCAGCCGTGGGCGGAATCGGCGGGGGGAATAAACCATTGTAGAACGCGGAATAGTACATGGGGTCTATCATCGGTAGGAACTTGCCGGGCGTGTTTGGCAGTTGTGGAAGGAAAGCTGGATTGTTTTGCGGTACCGTAGGTATATAACCGGAAGGTATACTCGGAACACTGTGTCGTCTTCCAGCCTCGGTTTGCCTCGGTTCCTGTTGCTGCTGATGTTGCTGCTGCTGCTGCTGCTGCTGCTGTTGCTGCTGCTGCTGTTGTTGTTGTTGTTGTTGAGCGATCAACGATTTATCGCCCTCGCTGATTCGACGCTGTTGCTGTTGTTGATGCTGTTGTTGGTGTATATGTTGATGCTGCTGATGATGATGGTGATGTTGATGCGGAGGATGATGCTGGTGCGGATGTTGCTCCTTACCACCGCTCATGTCCATGTTTTTTCTCCTGTCGATCGTGTTCTGTTGTTGAATCGTTGCCATTCTAGGATAACTTCCACTATTCAGGTGATTCAGATTAGGTACGTTCGGTATAACAGGATGACTCGGCTTCCTAGGTGTGTACGGTGACACTGGTTCGCTCCTCGTCGTATACTTGCCGTTCAGCTGTTGCCTTCTTTGAACGGGTATCGTGCTATTCCTCGGCGGGCTCGGTGCGCGAACGTGCGCCGACGTGCTCAGGTGATTATTCTTTTGCTTAGGGTTTACGATCGTGATCTCTAGGTTGTTCGAAGCCATTGTTCGACTGTCGAGCACGTTCTGGTAACCAGGGAAGGTATTTCGTTTCGAACAATCCTGTGGTTTCTCTTTGATTGTGGACGAGTTCCTCATCTCCAGGTTCAGTGGATTAGGCCTCGGCACTACAGGTACTTTCACTATTTCCAAGCTCGGCCTCGGGAACGCTGGCTTGCTTGATTTTTGCGTCAAATCGAGGACCCCGCCGTACACGGGATCATTGTTACTGTGTATCTGATGCGGCTGCAAACGGTGCAGCGTGGGACGATACTTTGGAGGGATAGGAATCTCTTTCGGATCGCCATAAACCGTTTTTTCGTTGTGTGCGAATATCGACCTCGACTGTGTCACCTTGGGCGGAAATATCCTACCGTTAGGAACAGTTGGCGGTACGAAACGATGATTTGCTTGATGATGTAGCCCGGACGAGGCCGGTGGCGGGACGTTGGCGTTCGCGTACAATTGTAACAACGCGGCGTTATTTGAAGTACCGAGATTTATTACGCGGCTGTTCACCATGTTGTTATTATTCATCGTGATATTGTTATTGTTGTTATGATGAGCCGGATGTTGCTTGGCCGGCGTTTGCAACCGTGCTTGATGCTGATGATGTTGATGATGATGATGATGAAGATGGTGATGGTGCTGATGATGATGCTGATGCTCTTGAGGAGACGACAACATGTGGCCGATGTCCGGCGTTACGGTAACGGAAATTAACTTAGGAATGGAATTAGGTGTGACTGGAAGTGGATACGATATTGGCGGTTTCTCCTCGGATTTCATAGTAGCTGGCGCAGGAGGATTACTCTGAATTACACTTGGTCGCGTGTCCAGGTCAACGGCAGTGACTTCAAGACCTCCCTCGCGAAGTATTTCGAGCTTGCGCTTCTTAAAACTGGGAATGATTATCTTATCCCTACTGGTGTCGCTCTCTGTTTCAAGGTCGATCACCTCTGGCGACCTAGGAGGCACTATCGCCTTCTCCGCGAAGATTGACTTTTCACCAAATAACGGTATGTTCTCTTTACCCTGTGCCAGCAGGGTGGTTTGTTTAGGATCTAGTTTGATTTCTTTCATATCCTTCTCCGGCGGTGGCGTTAACGTCACCACCGTAGAAGCATTCGTTACCACGGTAGTTACCGGAAGACCCGGCGGTGAACACGACGGTGGAACTTGTTGCGATATCAGGGGACTGTTCAGCTGCCTCTCTAACACGCTTTGACTTCCGGTACCGCTCGTCGGTGTGGTAGAGGGTGTACTACTTGGCGTTGATATTGACGTGTTAGAAGAAGGTGGTGGACTCGGTAGTTGGCTGGTTTGCTGGCTGGGCGATGACGTACTATTGGCGATCATGGTGTTCAATGACTTCAGGCGTTCTTGTTTCACTCTCACGCTACGCAGAGATGATGTCTTGCCGCCGGTCTCCGATTTCGGTTTTTCGCTCGAGAGGAACGGCTGTAAAAAGTAAATTCAATTATCACATGGATGATCGTGTTATTCGGTAAATGATCATCCTCCTACAAATACTCGACTCGACGATGCTTACTGCTGTCGATACAATTGATTGGAGAGGAGGAGTTGTAGCGGTAAGACTTGTTTCTATAGGGGGAGGCGTTTCCGATGGATACGAATCGTTTGTTTCTTGCTTAATATCCTCGGATTCTTCGGACACGCTGCTACTCTTGCTTCGTCTTCCGTGTGTCAGTCTAACTTTTGCTTCCTCTCCTCTTTGATACCTCTCGTACGGTAACAGCAATCTGTTTTTATAGATCGTTATTGACACTATCGATCGCTATTAAAAAAGAAAAAAAAAAGAAAGATCGTTCATGTAAATACTTTACCTCTCGTAATGTCGTCGAGTGATGGTCGCAGCGCTGGTAGATCCCGTGTTACCACCTATGTCGTCGTAGATATTTTTCCATAGTCGACCAGCGCTGACGGAGTCGTAGCCACCGAGCATTTGCACTTTCGTATAAAACAGGAAGAGATCGACTGTAAGGGAAACGGCTTTGTTAGAACCGACTGTATCTTCGGTTGTATCTCGATAACATTCATTTCAAGGAACGTATAGTGAGTTTGTCAAAAGGAAACACTGCTGTAGATCAGCTTCGAACAGTACCAATCGCTGTTTCAAATTCAAATTACAACGGATCAATATGTGTTTCTATTACATAGTATATAGGAGAATATATGTACGAGATCTTAAAAAGGTGCTCTAACAGTAAGAGAATTTTCCTCCAATTTAAAAAAAAAAAAAAACCTCACACAGATACTGACTCTGCCTGTAGCCCAGCAGTGGCATCTTTCCGACAGGCGTACCCCGCGAGTTCATGAAATTCTGCACATCCGTCAGGAATTTCTTTTCCTCGGCGCTGGTCTTCCGTTCGCTTCGCCGTACAACCGACGACGGTGGCCTCCCGACGCTCGGTACCACCACGTTCGAACTCGCCGGAGCACTCTTCGAGGTAGACGCGACGGAGGCTTCGCTCTCGTTGCTCGACTCGCCAGGCGACGCGCTACGCTTTTTACGCTTCCTCCGCGGCCTTCCTTTCAATTTTGGCGCTGAAAGAAAATATTCCACGTTACTTAAACAATTCTTTGCAACATCAAGATAATTTTACGGAAAAATATATTACAATAAGTAGATAAGCGAAAGGGGAGTTGGACAATACAATCGAGATTAAATTGTTAAGTATGGCACAAAAGAATAGGGTAGGTAGAGTATACAACAGATATGAAGAGTGAAGAGTGAGAGAAACAGAGAGAATGAAAAAAAAAAAAAAGAGAAATGTAAACCAAGTCCACTTTCATGGCTGTGAAGCCGAAAAAATAAAATTATCTATCTATCTATATTACAATAAGTGCTATATAATCTTCGACTTGAACTTGAATAAAATAAGAGGGAATCTAAGAGGGGCAAATTTGGAAAATATACATTTCTTCGTCTCTTAAAATTTCTTACCGGAAATACATTTTATATACATTGCTTTTCGAGATTTCTTACATCTCGCGAGTCGAGTACAAGTATTAATAATTGCGCGAATATGAATAATGCATAATGGCAATGCAACTGAAGATGTATTGCGCCGTGACAAATATATAACAGTAGTGGAGAACGCTATTAAATATTAATCATTTAAAATGTCGTAATACTTTTTTCAAGATCTGACGGTTATAAAAGTTTCATTGTTGTTTCCATGCGACACAGACAAAGGCCGGCGATTATCATCGAGATTTTAAATAACAGAACAATCCACGTCTCGCACGATTTCCGTTCCAAGTTAGTAAAAGACTGCTATTACGATCGCGTGATATTCCTTAATTTTCCGTAATGAGCCGACGCGTAAAGAAGTGAATATAAAATAACCCCCGCGGTCGTTACATTTGCTTAATTCTTTGCAATTTTGAACGGTGATACAGTGCTTCAAAGAAACAATCCTAAAAAACAGAACATTATTTTTCGCATACCCTTTTCTCGGGCATGTTCGTCACGTGCAAAACGAACAAATCGATATTTGCACTGCACCGGCTGCAATTAGTAACATAATAATACGGTGCACGTAATATTTTGTGTAATTACAGAACAACGGTTGATTTTAACGTGTAATGACAGTTTGCGAACTGTAATTTATATTTCTAGCCTCAATTTACATTGCCATTGTTAGATCTGGACGTGTAACTACCGATATCGGTAACACATGGTTAATTTTAACAAACTCGAGGAACAAAAATCTTTAAACAACTCTAGTCGTTGCTTATTGAAATTTTCACTTTTAGTTAGTTGTCAAATCTATAATTTAACACTAAATATTTGCAACGTACGAGTAGAACAATATTCGGTATCCATCTCGTCTGCACGTATCATATTTCAACACAAATCACATACAGAGAAAGATCACGATTCTCTTCGCCTTTTTTGTGTGTGAATCTCAATAATCTTACTAACAGAACTCACCAACAACCTTAAAATACACAATCTCATTTTCTTTGATCTTTATCACAATAGCCATTGTTTGTCCGCCTCGACGTAAGAGACGAATAAACGAAACAATCTAAGCGTACAATTTCCAAGTCACACGATCGCTTTCACTCGTAAAATTACTATAAACCCGAGCGGAACAATTCAATCGAAATTCAGAGATGAACGTTTGTCCCACTGAACGCGTTAATCCGGATTAAAATCGTCACCGCGACAGTTACAAAGTATCTTCCCGGCAAAGCAACACGTGCATGATGAAACCTCATAATAACGTTCTTCCCGCTAGCCTCACTCGATACGTTCTGTTGATTTTTTAATGCTTCTCCGGCCTACGTAATCGTTCGCTGCGGCCACGTGCAACCAACCTCGGTCGGTAAATGGTACACTAAATTGTCGAAATTAATATCTAATTACGCAACGAGTGTCAACACGTTGCATTAAAACTATCGAGACATCTGGTATTTAATAAACAATTCAACTTAAATTAACAAATGGTGTTCACGCTCTTTCATCGCGTTCGTATCTCTTCGGTATAGACCGGAGAACGATAGGAAAATTTATTTATTTTTATTTACTTGTAATAAATCTTATTTACTCGTGATAAATTATATTTATTTATTTTTATTTACTTGTAATAAATCTTATTTACTTGTGATAAATTATATTTATTTACTTGTAATAAATTTTACTTTTCGTTGACGATATAAATAAAATATGCAGATAAAATACCAGAGAGGTAAAAAAACAAATGAATAAAATAGACGATTAACAATATCACATTATCGATGAATTTTATATTACATCAATGAAAATTAGAAATTAAAAGCGTCAAGTCAGATCAATGTTTAAACGTACATTCGAATTCAATGCTACCTTTTTAAAACAATTGGCAAAATCAATCGTGTGTACATTTTATTCACTTTAAATTTTCACAGTTATACACGAGCTAGGTGGATATTGACGATTGAACCTACCTAGGTGATTACAGAGGAGCTCGTGAGTTTCAAGATCCGGGTAGTCGAAGGTGTCTCTGCAAAAGAGTATCCTAGTACCCGGTGTGGTGGTGAATCCACCCAATGCGGCTGCTATGGACGAGCAAAGCCAGGACGGTTCGGTGCCTTCGAGCCTACGCAATAGCGCCCGATATCGACAGTACCTGGGGTACGAGAGCACCACCACCTTCGTTTGGGAAATACAGTCCGTCTTCCTCGTGTTGTGATTGCTTTCGTACTCCTTCTGTTGTTTGTCGACGTCGGAGAAATCGATGCCAGGATCGGTGAGCACCTGGGGCTGAGGCATCTCGTACCTCAACGGGCTGTTCTCCGGAGACGACGACGGCGACGATGGATAAGATACTTCGCGACCCCACGACCATTCCAATGTTGGCGACAACCACGTGACGAGATCGTGAACGCGCACCACCACCTTCTCCGATATCGTCAGCACCTCGTCCTGCAATCAGACAAGTATTTCCTTGTTATAGTAACGTTTTTTTTTTTTTTTTTTTTCTGACAATTTGATCATCTAGTAAAGTAGTAAATTAACAGAAAAAAGAAAAAAAAATACAGAATAATGTGGACAAATGAATAACGTCATAAAACAAGTTTCCAAGAGTATTTATCATCGGCAAACAGAATCACAGGATCTTTATCAAGTACGAGTCATTGTCCGCGTTACGTCGCTGGCTTATCATTCACGCGACCTCTTTCCCCGCTATTAAATCTTCCCCTCAAACTTGCGTTTATAGACCGCTATAAATATATGTATGTATTTCTTCGAAACTTTTCTATATTACTATATCTTGCGAAAGTAGGGCAAAAGGTTCTCCACGTGCTTCCCCAACGTGCAACTTTTCTTTGACGACGAAACTTTGAAACCGGCTACGTTGAGAGCAGCGTTCCTAAGCGTTAAATTAAATTAGTCGTTGAATTAAAAATGAGCTCGCCCTTCGCGAGAGACGGAGATATAAACAAGATGACAATCGAGTTAAACAATTTTCGAATTACGGAAACTTTTGAGATGTTTATCGTCCGAGGATAACGATGCAGGAACCTCCTTTGCCAGTATCTGTTATTTTACCACCGACTTTCCATCGACAGGTGGAGGCACGGTCAAGTCTCCGCTACTTACTTAAACTTCCCGGTAATCTGACCCGCGTCCTCTATATAGATCTACCTGTCGCGTGTACAGCTAAAACACCTATGTGCTTGTTATGTATACACATAATCCAGCCAACGTAACTCGTGGTTTATGTTGTACCTCGAGTGCATCGTTACCTACTCTGCTTCGGCGATAATTTAATTGTCCGTTGATGCCAGCGGCGACGTTATTTTCACAAAGTTTCAGCCAACTCTTGGTCTTGCTGATTTGTGGGATTTAATTCAACTGTCGGGATATTGCTTTCCATTAAAGCTCCAAGTAAGTATAATAAACGCGTAAACGTTTAGAAGATATAAGGCGAGCAATAACGAGAAATTGGAGGTTGCACAAGAGATGTAAAAAAAAAAAAAAAAAAAAAAATTTCAACGAAACGTAAATAATGTCCCTTTTAAGAAAAATAAATTACCATTTAAAGATGGCTGAAAATTGCACGATAAAATATAATAGATGATGAACGCAACTCGCGCGCTATCTCGTCGATCGAACAATGCTCAGTAATGACTCATAAACTAAACGTTAGTATGAAATTTATTACCGAGACGTTGGATGTCTATAAATCAACCGCGAGGAGTGAACGCGTTGCGACTAAGAGTGTGATTAAAATATTCGCGCACGTGTTTTAATTGTTCAACTCGGGTTGAACAATTCTCACTATGGCAACGACACTGCACGGCGAAACCGCATTTATGCGAACGGAGCTTTATATATATATATATATACGAATTCATAATTGATCAACTTCTGTCATCCTTGTCTACTGTCTCCAAAAGCAAACAAAAGCGAAATACAGCGAAAGCTGGCTTCTATTATCCGAACCTTAGTCCACGGCGTTGTTCGGATAAGCGAGGTTTTACTGTATTTATTCAAACAACACGAAGCACGCTGGCTATATTTAATTAAACATCGCCCGGTTGTCTGCGACGTTCCTCCGCAATTTAGCTTATATAACTGGAAGATTCGTTAGCGGCAAATCGAATCGTCCGGAAAGAATTGAGATTCAACGAGGGGCAATTGCGAGATACACTTGAAGCAGTGGCTCCTCGCCGAGTAAATCCGAAAAGAGCCTTGAGCCAAGTAAAATGCCCCGGGTTTTAACCCCTTGCGCTTCAAACTGCCATCCAGAGTTAGTTACACGATACTGAACGTTTCAATGGCACCGCTGCTAAATTTGATAATGTCCTTTCACAACCAAATATACACAGACGGATGAAAAGTATTTGGAAGTGCTATATGCACATAGACGACGCTTATGAATTTGTATTAGTGTGGATTTTCGTGCAATTTTACATTTGGGTTAATTTTTACAACTCGCGCTGAATAGAAAACGTAAAATATGTTTGAGAAGTTTAAAAGAAGGCAACGGTAAAAGTCTTCTATATGAAAAGTATCAAAAATAAAATAATTAATTATTTATTTTAAATTATTAAATTTTTTATTAATTTATTAAATTAAATAATTACCGGATGTAAATTAACGAATACGTAAAAATATAACTCATGTGCTGCAAGAAATTACAAAAATTTATTTAAAATACGGTTAATTATACATTATATCAACAAACCTCGATTTTTCAGTAGTAACTATATTTAACAATTGCATTATGCACTTAAAATAATTGTTCGTGCTTGTTCTCAGATCGATACAATTATTCCCAACATAAAAATACATAAAACACATGTAATAGAGAAAAAAAATGTGTAAAAAACATTTCAAGTAGAGAGCTAGTTATAATTTTTAACAAGTGAAACGAATCTCTTTAAGTCCATTAAAAGACAAACCGAGAAAAAAATTCACAGTATGCTCGTTACAGTGCCAATAAAATCTCGAAATGTGTTCCACGTAACGTATAAAAAGATTTCTGCAACAAATGTTTCCTCACTCTGTCGCTGTTTATTCGTACAAACTCTCCTTCACATAATAAAAAGAGGAATTCTGTAATTGAAGACAGAATTTAAACGTACATATACTTGTGTAAATCGCGATGTAACATTCTATTTAATTTGAGGAAGTCACTGTAGCCCGATGTTATACTTTCATCCTTTAGCTTCGTGCTCATCCGTGTCTCGCTTCAACCCCCCCGTCAATTCACTTCTCTCTTCCTTTATTCGTCGTTTTTCTCCTCCTGTCTATTGCTCCTCTTTCTCTCGTCTCTCGTTTAAATCCCGTTTCTCCATCTTTTCTCCTCCCGTCTCTTCCACCTCTCTTCTTCTTTCAGCTTTCAACGTTGCCTGTTCCCTTTTCCTTTCCTTTTTTTTTTTTACTCTCGCTTCCTTGGTCACTTATTTGCCCTCCTGTTTGTACAATCTTTCCTTTGCTGCTTTACCTGTTCTCCGCTCCCTCTGACACACTGTCACCGGATTAATTCGATGATCGAAACAGTCGAACAAACCCAAGTAGCGGGTGCCAATATCCGATGCACACACTGACACGATTTAAGTGTGAACGAAAAGTTCAAAGAAACGAGCATTCTACTTTCGATATTTTATTTTTAAATTTCCCCATAAATGTTTAAAAGTCTTTAAGATTGTCTTATAATATTTACAGATTAAGTAACAATTATTTTATGCTTAAGTACAGATTAAGTAACGATTATTTTATGCTTCGTTGTTTTTTATTAAATTTCCCATAAATGTTTAAAAGTCTTTAAGATTGTTTTATATTTCTTAAGTAACGATCCATTTAGTCTTCAGTTTATCAATGAGGTCTGTAGTTTATCAATGAAAAAAAAAAAAAAATGAATTGCTTCTCCAATAGTTACGAGACAACTAATTCTGCAAAGCCGCATCATGCGCCTAGATTCCCCCAATTCTTTCAGTCACGTATCTACCTCGTCGTCGTTGCTCGTTTCCTCTCGTTGTCAATCTTCGAAGAAGAAACCCCGTGCTACTTTCTCTTCGCCACACTGTTTCATTTTCCAATCTCCCGACACCAATGGTCGGGATTCTCCACCCCTTGAATCACTTGTCTGAAAACAAACCTTTCCGTCTTAATCGCAGGGACACGCGGAGAAACGACAGAGCAGAATGGCGTGTAACCGAGAATGGCATCGCAAAAGAAAAGTCCAACGTGAACGCCTTCTTTTTCTTCGTTTGTCTCCTTACACTCTATTTATTGTCATGATTTCCTAGGAGGGTTCCTTCCTCACGTTCTGTTGACTCTTCTCTCCTCCTCCTTCTCTTTTTTTGCCCTCCCTTGCTTCCCTCTCGATCCTTGAAATCGATTTCGTCAACACGAAAGATATCGCGGTTCAATTAAAAATCCTAGTCGCTGGTTTTTTTTTTTTTTTTTTTTTTTTTTTTCTTTTTGTTTACAGTGCGTCGAGAAACTCGTTTGTTAACAGACGAGAGTCTGAAATCGCGTCTGATTATTCGTGTATTACGTTCGATGCCGTTGTTACCCCGGGAGCGCCGGGGTAAACCTGATGGCAACTTGGTAATCACGTTAGAGCCGGTAGTGAAACTGATGGCGGGTGTTCAACTCGCAACTCGATTCTATTTAAATATTTAAATGTAGTTTTAAACTTCTCTCGACTAGCCGGGACGAAGTTTCTCCAAATTGGTAATCTCTTACTTTTCAATCGTCTAGACCGAACACTTACGGGAAATGCAATTAGCCGACTGTAAATTTTGAATGGCGGCATCGATTAAAGAGCGTCGTATAAGTGAGTGGGTAAGGATTGTGAACTTATCAATGAAGATGCTAGGCGACCTGCGCCAAAATTCACATAACTAATAACGTACAGTGTATATATTTAGACTTGTTTAATTATTTGGTACTTCTGTCTTTTTCAGACAGATTTTTCAAACATTCAGAGTTAGCGAATTTTATTATTATTATTTATATCTTATAATATTTGTATTTTATCAGCTCTTAATGTGAATGTGAGTACTTGAATTAATTTCAAGTTACCTTAAAATTTAATCGAGAATAATCAAGAATTAATTGAAGATAATTTAAGCTGGCTTTAGTAGTTTAGTACTGGCGTTAGTAGTATTAAATTTTAAAATTTAACTAGTTGCAGGTAGTAGGTGTACGCTATAAAAATCTATAATTCTTTAATCATTTAGTACTGCAACTTTAGTTTCAAATTATTCAATTCAATTTCACTACAAATTAAATTCGAAGCTATTAAATTTCCTTACAAACAAGTCGTAAAAATAATGTTTTATTAATTTCGAATATAATAATATTCGACAACTGGAAAATTCTACGTACTGTTAACAAAGATTAAGATCGAGGCGTAAGTTTAAGACCAGCATTAGAAATATTAAATCTTCATAAACTCTCATTAACTTGA